GCTCCCTTGGCCACCATCTCCCATATACGTGTCTCCTCCATCTCCGCCGTCGTACCCTCCACCCCCAGAGCCAGATCCTCTAAAGTTACCTCAATGAGTGGGGTCATACCACGAGGGTGGTGGAGGGGGGTTCTCCATGGTATGGAAGGATCCCTGCTGTGCCATATAAGAGTACATAGGTCCGTAGAACCTACGTTGGTCTTCCTCATACCGATGTCTATCGGCCTCCCTGAGCTCCTCCAATCGCTGAAAACCGGCTCTTTGCTCCTCCTCTAATCGGTTGAGTCGGTTGTCCATTTGGGCGTATCCCGTAAGCAGTTGTTGTTGACCCTCCAGAAGTTGTTGAAAGAAGTCGGGTGGTGGAGGTTTTTGGCTTTGTTCGGGGATGTCCTGGCCCATATTTTGATGGCTATGGAGTTGATCATAGGGCTCGTAATCGGGTTGGTGTTGGAGAGGTTCTTGTTCCGGTTCCTGGAGATGTGGTGGAAGGGCGTGTGGGAAGAGGTAATGTTTCTCCTCTTTTGCTGTTTTGTAGTGGAGTTGGGGGAGTTCTGGGTTGGGCAGGAGGAAGTATTTGAGGGGTTTGGGGTGGATGAGCCAGTTGTACATATTCCTGGGTCTTTCTTCACCATAAACGGTGTGTGAAAAAGATGTACAGCCCGAGTGGCCCAGCCAAGAAATGTTCATCAAACAGTAGTCGGGTATAGGAGAGTTATCCGTATACCCGAACTTGGTGTCCAAGTGCATAATCACCCCGCCCACTAGAATAACGCCCTTTGCTACGCTTTCTTTTTTGAGATGTGCCCACATAAGATTACACAGGTTGAAATCCACGTGAACACGGAATAGGGCTACCGACATTAGGCATACATCCCCCATCCTAGTGTGATGGTTGTGGGGACGTCCAAGCAAGGAGTTGGCAATGAATTTCAAAAATAGGCGGAGGACGGGATGTTGGACATGACTAATATAGAGTTGGGAGGAGCTAAATTTAGTCTCCCCGGTCATCTTTGTCCATAGGGTATGGCCGAAGGCGGTATTGTCGGATATAGATTTTTGGTAAGGGACCGGAATACCAAAGTGTTCGGCGAACTCAAGTTTCGTGATGGAGTGGTTGTGGTTAAACAAGCGAAACTTGAGTTTATCATCCCTAAAATCCTCTTCATCGTTCTCAAATTGCACTGAGCTTAGGAATTCATAGATAATTTTTTCATTTGAGTGATATTACATTTTGAATATCTTATCCATGCTCAACTCATGAAAAAATTATTTCTTAGTCATTTTGTACACTCCTAATTCATTTAGGGCATCATGGCATAAAAAGCGAGAGGGTTTAACTTGCCTTTCAATGGTGGACATGAAGCGGGTGCGGTGTTCGTTGTCCATGAAGATGATGTCCTCGTAGCCCGGGATGGATGCCCTAGTGTTGGAGCTTTGTCCTTTCTCCTTCCTTGGAGCCATTTTTGAGTGAATTTGGGCTTGAAATCCGAAATTTGAAGGTGGGGGTAGGGTCTACCCGATCGGGTATAGACATTAAATCGTGGCCGAAATCTTCCCAGCATGTTCCCTTGTCTTCGGATCTGATCCGATTTGAAGTTCCAACCTAATACCCGATCGAGTATAGTTAATACTCGACCGAGTATAGACCAAAATTCAGGATCTTCTTTTGTCTTCAAATTTTTGCACCTTCTTTCCACTTTTTGGGTTCACCAACTGTACTTCGAGTGTTCAAGACCTGTTTGCAGCTAAGAATATATCTAATCTAACCTATTTACAAAAATTTAACAAACTAATCTATTACACCAAAAATGTGTAATTTCCATAGTAAAGATCAAGCAAAACTAATTAAAAACACAAACATAAATATGGAAATTACAAACGTATCAAGACATCATTCCGAGAATCTGAAAGGAAGAAGGTGAAAGCAGACGATGAAGTCAGATGCTCCCTGTTGCAATTTCAGAATGAGACATTCCACCATTTTATTCATATCTCTTGATTGGATGATTCAAATCCAATTCGGCAAATTGGGGTGGATAGAGGACTTCATTAACTACAACTTTCATGAAGGAAGTTCTGTCAAATTCGGACTAGATATGCCGAAAAACGCACCGGTAGACACGCACGAGTGTGTCCAAAGATTTTACGCGTTTCTCTGTCGGACGCACGGACGTAACGCATGCGTGCGTAGGCGCCGTGCGTACCTAATTTGTTTCCTAATTTAGCCCAAATCAATATGTTTCCTATAAATATCACCCCCTTAAACCTAATGAAGGGGGATGGAACTTTAGAGAGAGATTAAGGACGAGATTAGAGAGCTTTTTCAGCCAGGTTTTTCAATTCCTTAACATTCTTTGTAAATTCCTACTTTTTAATTAATGACAATTACTTCTACTCTTCCGAATTCTATTGATTCTTCAATTATGAGTTGGGAGTAGTTTTAATTAGGGATTTGGGATTGATGAAGGGGTTAATCATGATGTATGGCTAGATTTTTGATGGTTTAATTGCATGAATGTCGTTTAGTTTGTGTTTGAACAATTTAATTGCTATCTTTTGTAATCTAGAATGGCCACTAGAATTACAATTGCACATAGAATAAATTAAGAGAGATCTAATTTGTTCTAGGACACATTCACACACACTTAATCATTCGTTAAGAGATTAGTAGTGATTAAGGGGCCGTAAGCTTGCTCGTCTTGGCAATAATTTAGGATCCTGTCACGTGAGAGATCTGCCTGGTCCCCTAAATTCTTGTACTCTACACAGCGAGAGCGGTAAGAACTTAGTATTGATTAGCTAGGCTCAATTAAATTAAATTCATTTAATTAGGCCTGATCTGCCAGAAATCTGATTACCCCAGAATCAATCCCTGTTCCCTTCGTTGTTAATTAGAGAGAATCCAATCTTTTATTTTATTCGTTTAGTCGCATTCGTTTACTTTAAATTCAACCAATCCATCTCGCACGACGCATTTATTTTTTTTATTTATTTTTAATCGATGAATTTAGTTAATCTTTAATTCCCTTTTTACCGTCATTGTGGAGACGATACTCGTACTTACATCACTATATTACAATCTTTTAAAGTGCGAAAAAAACTCACATCATCTTCGAAATCTATTGACAACTATTTCTCAAGAATTCAAACCATCGTGAATCAACTAAGAAGATATGGAGAAGAAATCAAAGACAACTGTGTGGTTGAAAAAATTCTACGATCTTTAGATTCAAAATTCAATACATAGTTGTGGCAATAGAAGAATCTAAAGATCTAGAAACAATGACGGTTGATAATCTCTTGGGATCTCTTCAAGCTCATGAAGAAAAACTCAAGAAGAGAATAAAGCAAGAGCCATTGGAGCAAGCCCTTCAAACCAAGCTCACCTTAAAAAATAAAGAGATTTTCCAAGAGGGAAAAAGTCAAGGTTCAAGAGGGCGCGGTCAAAGCCAAGACTATGGAAGAGGAGGTTATAAGACTTTCAACAAAGAAGAAAGAAGTCCACATTTCTATCAATCAAGAGGCCGTGGAAGAGGAGGTTTTTTGAGACCAAGGTATGATAAGTATCAAGTTCAATGTTATAATTGTCAAAAATTTGGTCACTTTGTCCACGATTGTAAATTGGCAAAAAATGGAGTTAAGGAGCGGACAAATTTTGCCAAGGAAGAAGAAGTAAATTCAACATTGTTGATGGCCCATAAAGAAAGAGAAAGTGAATCCAAAATGACTTGGTACTTAGATACGGGAGCTAGCGACCACATGTGCGGGAAGAGAGATATGTTCGTCGAGCTTGATAAATCGATAAGTGGAAATATCTACTTTGGAGATGAATAAAAAATCCCGGGATGGACATACATAAAATGTTTGTTAAGAATGGTTTATTTATAATATGTGGTCTGGAAAAGGAACTCAGTTGATAAATGAGCTCGTAAATATGAAATTTCAACTTGTACAAGCGAATCAGTTATTTAGATACATTCTGCAAGGATAAAAGCTTAAGAATTTAAGTTAAAACGCCTGGAATTAGTAGTTGTTTGGGATGGACATACAAACACTACAAAAAAACACTGGAATGGTCAAGGATTTTGTTAGGGGTCACAGTTTAAAATATCCCTAACAAATGATTTTGTTAGGGATTTTGTCAACGAATTCATCCCTGACTCCAGCGCCCTCACAAAACTATTGTTAGGTATCTGGTATCCTTAACAAACTATTGTTAGGGATCTGGTATATCCTTAACAAATCCGTGACAATTATCAATTTTAACTGTTGTCAGGGATAACGTCCCTGACAAAATGAAACGGCTACTTTTTGCAACTTGTTTTTGTTAGGGGTTTGTTCCCCGACAAATATTCCGGCCAAAAAAGCCGGCCGATGCCGTGTTTGAGGGTTCTATCAGGGATTTTGTTACGGATTTTATCTCATACAAATTTTGTTAGGGAAGTATCCCTGACAAAACTGTTTGACCGATTTCTTCTGGAATCCCTAACAAAATCCCTGACAAGATTGTTGGGGATCGTATCCCTGACTAAAATCCTTGACAAAATCAGTGTTTTTTTGTAGTGATAAAAGGTTTGTTAAGAATGGTTTATTTATAATATGTGGTCTGGGAAAGGAACTCAGTTGATAAATGAGCTTGTAATTATGAAGTTTCAACTTGTACAAGAGAATCAGTTATTTAGATATATTGTGCAAGGATAAAAGCTTAAGAATTTAAGTTAAAACACCTGAAATTATGTTTAAAGATCTATTATCATGAGAAGGCTAGGGTGCTAGTAAAATTTGAGAAAAAAAATCATCTGTATCAAGGTAGTGAATATATTTAAATAACGTACTTCAGCCGTAGCAGGGGTCAGTGAAGAGTTTCTTTCAAGTATTTTTATTTAAATCTAGAAAGAGAATGCCACATGTAGATTGTGACCTCTATTTTTGGGTTTCAGTAGGAGCTGATAGCGGCACCTTTCCGTGTAGATTGACCGAACTTTAAATACAAAGAGAATGCCACATATAAATCCGTAAATCGGTAAATGTTTCAATGATACTTATGCTACTTTTTTTTGCATATTTGTTTACCCCTATTTAAGCTTTGTAATGCAGAAACGATAATACGAGTGTGGTTACTTTTTGAAGATTCAAATTTCTAACATTGTTTTGACGGTAATTTTTGAATAGTCGGATGACATATTTGTTTTATTATTATTATTGTTATATTTACTTTAAATAAGATTTCTCATGTTAATTGTGTAATACTTTTTTTTAATTTGTAGTGATTCCATGGGCATCGTTTAAAGGCAAGAGCTGAATATTTTCGTTCAAGCTTAAAAGGGATGGCATTAAGCAACTGCCATGATGACTAACTTGTTGATTTTGGATACTATTGAAAAAGTTATTTTAACTTGTAATTTGTAGTTTTGGAAATTTGCTTGCAAGTATTGCAAAAAGTATGGTTTGTTGTCTTAATATGATTAAGTGCCTTTAACGAACTTCTGCACTTTGCTGAACTGCTGAAGTTTTGTACACTACAAAAAAACACACCGTTTGTCATGGATTTTTGTCACGGATTACGGCCGTGACAAAGTTGTCACGGGCTTTGTTACGGAATATTGGGATTTGTCACGAAAATGTTTTGTCACGGATCGGTCCGTGACAAAATCCGTGACAAAATTTTGTCACGGATTTTGGTCCGTGACAAATGTACTCCGGCGACCGGTTTTTTACTCCGGTGAATACTTTTTTTGCTTCCGGGCATTTGTCACAGACTGTTCCGTGACAAATCCGTGACAAATTTCAAAAAAACTTTGTCACGGATCCATCTGTGACAAAATTCGTGACAAACCTCAATTATTGATTTTTCAGCGGTAACATTTTAATAACTTAAATTTAAGAAATGATATATCAATGTTTTTAATGAAGGCTTCCCATCGGTGTCATTTTGCCCTAGACCAAGCTATTCTCAAAGAATACAATTCTAGGATTTCTGGGTGGTTGAGACCCACTTTTAGGACCGCCCGGTCTACGGGTAAAAAGCCAAAATTCCTTGGCGATGATGTGTGGGAGATGCTTTGCCGCCACTGGGCTACGGATGCCGCATTTTTGCTGAGAAGCGAAACGGCCAAGGCAAACCGGAACTCCGAGAAAGCCAAGGAAGTTCAATGGCACGGGGGCCGCAAACCCCAAATTCAACATAAAAAAGATCTGGTAAACTCTAATTAGTTAAAATTATTTCCATTCCATACCCTTATGTATATATTTTTTTATTAACTTTGAAATCCGTGTAGGAAGGATCTGGACCCGTGAAAAAACGGGTCACACCATTGAAACTCATGGCACATTGTTGGACGAAGAAGGGTGCCATGCCGCCTCCCCGCCTTTCTGAAATTGAAGTAAATAATGAAACTTCAATAATTCAATAAATTTCGATTTTTTTTCTCTTATATAATAAATTTTTGAACTTGTAGAAAAAAATATGAGGAAGAGCGGGGGAAGAGAGTTGATGAGCTAGCTGATTCTGATGACGAACTTGATGCAAATCAAGAACATGAGGTCATCTTGGCGGCAACCGGAGTTTACAAGGGCCGGGTGTCGCTTATGGGTTCTGAAGGCGTACGGATCCGAGAGAAGGCCAAAGGAGCTAGCTCATCTTCTCATTCGGCATATGATGATCGGGTTACCCGTCTCGAGAAACTATTGGAGGAACGTGAAGCCGAGGCTCAAAGGCGGGATGAAGAAGCTCGGAGACGGGATGAAGAGCAAAGAAGAACAAGAGAAAGGATGGAAGAGATGGAACGCCAAATGCGTATTTTCAACGCCACCTACCGTCCATTCATGCACATACAGCACCCCGAGATGACCCCACAAGTTCCCTTCGCGGGCAATATGGGCAATAAGGGCAGTATGGGCAGTAGGGGTTTTGCTAATTATAGCCATATCTCCAACAACTTTCCATATGGATATTATGATGATATCCCGACTCCCGGAGCTCAAGCATACCGTGGCAGCAGCCGTGCTGGCAGCCGCGGTGGCAGTCGAGGCAACCATCGTGGTGGCAGCCGTGGCCACGGAAGGCAACCCGATCATCGTAACGAACCTGATGATGATGATGCTGATTATAATGACCATTGATGGTTTGTAATAATTAGTTTATTGACATTTTAAGGATTTTTAAATTTTGATGTGTTAATGTATGAATATTAATTATTTGTGTTATATAATGATGGTTTGATTGGTTTATTATTTATTATGATACCTAAGGGCATCCTCATCCATGAGTTTATTTGAAGATGAATTGGGTGATGTGTAAGATTATTTTAAAGATTATCATAGTGAGTGAGTGATTATTTAGTGAGATTATTGAAAAAGAAAATCCGGTATCAAGATTCCAATCCCGGATTATTTTAGATTATAGTTAAATTACATTTAATGCATGCCGGAAAAAACTAATTATACGAGTATTATTGTTGATGAAGAGTTTTAAACTTTGAGATTATTTAAAATTTATGGAATAAATGTGATGTGGCAATGATATGTAATAAAAAAAACGTTTATTTAGAGAGCATGAATGGAGATGCTCTAATGTTTAATGGTGATTAATGATGATTAATGGTGATTGTTTAATGGTGATTAAAGATGATTAATGGTGATTGTTTAATTATTTATTATAAACAATTATTTATTAAGATTAATGATGATGATTGTTTAACTATTTATTAAAAACAATGTTTATTAAGTTTAAATTTTTGAAAAAGCGCCTAAATTTTAAAGGTTATTATTTATTAAATAAACTTTTGAAATAAACATTCAAAAAATTAATGCGCTGAATTTTTAAAAAAAATTTTGAAAAAATTTAAATTTTGTCACGGACTGTTCCGTGACAAAATATAAATTCATTTTATTTTAAATACATAAAACGCTGAAAATAACGTATTTTTTTTTTTAAAAAAATGTTTTCTCACGGATGGGATCCGTGACAAGTTCAAATTTTTGAAATTTTTTGAAAATTTTAAAGCACCCGCCCACTCTATTTTAAAATTTTCAAATTTTTTTCAAAATGTTTTGTCACGGATATTTCCGTGACAAAATTTAAAATTTGAATTTTCCGGATCATTTCAAATACCCGCCCACTCTATTTCGAAAAACCTTTTTTTAAATTTGTCACGGAAATATCCGTGACAAATAATTATTATTTTTTGAAAAATAAAAAAATTTATTCACGGATGCGGCCGTGACAAATGAAAGGCGATGGGGTTCCGGTGAAGTGTTTTGTCACGGACGGTGGCCGTGACAAATCCGTGACAAACAGTCTCACGGATTAATTTCCGTGACAAAAACGTTATCATGCTCCTGGTGTCACGGATTTTTTCCGTGACAAATTCGTGACAAAAAATCATTTGTCACGGATTTTTTGAACTACCGTTCGTGACAAAATCCGTGACAAACGGCGTGTTTTTTGTAGTGGTATAATGGCTTATGTGTGTGATTAGATATACATTGGGCCTTTCCGGAAAGTCAACTGGGAAATGGAAAGGGGTGATCGAAGATATTTTGGACAAGGCTAAGAGGGCTAATGTTTTGTTTGGACCGGTAATGAGGCAGGCTGATTGGTCGGCCCATTATCTTGTGGGTATGCAAGTGGCCCAATTTAAAGATTTTTCTTCTATTGCTTCTCTTCCTTCCATTGCTAGAACTGCGTACTACCTTGATTTTTTCGATATCCCGTCTTTTCGGAGTATTTGGTAGGGTTTTATTTATGTTCTTGTTTGTTGCTTGATTTTGCTTTTGGGTGTGTATTTTTGAAAGGGGGTGCCCTTTCTGAAGAGGTTTTGGCCTAGTCCCCTTCTTCGTTTTGTATTATTTATTTTTATTAATAAATAAAAATGATGCTTTTGTTTAAATTGGAATTTGTCCCACTAATTTTGATGGTTTGCCTGCCGGGTTAAAAAAAGATATATATTGGGCACAGGATTAGATATGATGCTTTTGTTTAAACTGGAATTTGTCAAGTTCATAGTCTCACACAAAGCCTCTTATAACCTTCATATGCGTTTTGGTGTCTTAAATTAAATTTGTTTTGTTTAAAGACACTAACCACCTGCTCACTTAGGATGTTTTTACTTGGACTGTAATTTCTGGTCTGGTCTGGTCTGGTCTGAACTGGTCTGGTCTGGTCTGGTCTGGTCTGGTCTGAACTCGTCTAGTCTGGTCTGGTTTCTTTGTATTTTTATAACTATCCAAGTCTGGTCTGGTCTGGTCTGGTCTGGTCTGGTCTGAACTGATCTGGTCTGATCTGGTCTGGGACGAATTACAGTCCAAGTAAAAACATCCGAACTTTGCAACATTCTTGAATTGCAATTCCACCAAAAACGCTTATTCACGAGTGTTATTAATTTCTCTAAACTCATTAATTGTTCAAAATTGAACTTGTCATGTCCAAAGACACTCATATATAGACACCTGTAACTCTTCACTTGTTTAAACAAATTCCCTCAACTCCTTTTAACGTACATAAAAGTATAAAACTGTCCTTTTCTTAATTTACCAATAAATTCACATAAGTTGTGAGTAGCATATTTTTTATGGGGGGAATGTGATGTGTTTTCATAACAGTAACATCCAAACACAGGCAATTAAAAAAATACATAAGCCTTTTCTTTATCCTCTTCGGTAGTGGTACAAATCTTTGCTGGGTATATTAGTATATATATATATACCAAGCTTGTATCAAAATCCTTGAAGCACAATTAAGATTGTGCAATTTCACTATTCTCAAATCTCAATTTATCTCTATTTCCATTCTGATACCATGCTTGTATCAGAATAAAATAATTAATTAGGTACTAAAAAGAAATATACGTAGTATGTAATTAAAGTCTTATATATATATTGAACAACCTTTTCATCCATGAAATCTATCAAACCCTTCATGAAAAATCCATTACAAAATTCAAATATATAACATTTATTGTCATCAACTTATTGTTTCATTGTGATGAACTCTTACTTAATTTTATTCATTTAATGAATAAATACTTAGATGACAATTCTTAAAGTTATTGCCTATAGAGAGAAAATATAGATTTAGACAACTGAATATAATTTCAATTGAATATTAGCACACAACAATTTGGAGAGAGAAAATGCAAATGTTAGGCATCATTCGCACGTAGTGCGTACTCTGCTAGTAGTTCTATACACAATTTGCATCTTAATTTACACACTCATGTATACATATGTAATACTCCGTAGTGGTTTGTGTTTATAATGTTAACTTTTTCTAATAGAACTTTATGTATACTTATTTAAAATTTTACAAGCAGATTTGCCTATTCAATGTCTATATGACTATATTTGTTTATCCTTTTAAGAGTTCGTTTAATCTTTAACCTTTTTAATAAAATAAATGAAGTAGATTAATAAAAAAAATCAAGTAATTTTTAGTCCGAATGTCACCTATTGATGTGTGAAAGTAATTTTTTAATGATTCAAGCTGATTACTCTCAACCTATTTCTAAACAAATATAGCTTTTTGTGTACTTTTTACAACTTCAACTTAACAAATGTATTCATATAATATAAATGTTAGTATATATGTCCTAGCGACAATCACTTTTTAGAGATATATGTACTTGATCACATTCAGTTTTATATATTTGATATATACGGTATTACACATTGATGATTAAGCATTTCGATTGTCAATATCTTATTCATAATTATGTTCCCTTGGACTTATGTTGTCAATAAGTAAGTGGGAGCTTATATGATATAACATAAGGTCCTAAAATAGCCCCAATCAATGATCATTAAGAATGAGATATTGATGATATGCGATAAGATTGGTATGCGGACTGCATCATACTTTTAGAAAGTATAGTTGATCTCACAACTATGAGTTCCTGTTATTCATGATGGTCACATAGATATTTTAGAGAATATTGGCATACCCACCGAGAAACCATTTGATAAGTTCTATTCATGTGTCTATGGGATTATCGGCGTATAGAGTAGTGTAATAGTCCTCCGACTTGAGGTCAATACGTACTACATGTGCGGAGTGATGTACTTTGACCATGACCAACGCTTGCACTCCAATCGGGGTAGATACGGCATGTGTTGGGTGCATCACGAAGCACATGGAGTAGTAGTTGAGCTAAGAAAGGATTCATTCCTCATAATAGATTAAGAGAGAACATTCTACTTCTCATATCTAGATGGATCATAAAGTCATTGGCCAATGCAAAGATATATTCGTTTTGGATATCGAATATGATCGTTATGGATCATCTAGAAAGATTGAGAGACAGAGACTGAGTTATTGGGATAGACACAATATCATGTTCTAGACTTAGTTGAATGTTCGTTGAATGAAAGGACCGTATCACTATGAGCTCTATATTACAGGGAGTTTGAATAGTCCTCGCAAACGTCCTTATATATTAAGTTTGTCTGGTAAATCGTCTAGGGATTCTACTAAGACCTTGATTTGATTAGTGCTTAATATATAAGGCCCTATGGGTCACACAACAAGTGATTATACCTTCCGATAGAATTGTTAGAAGGAATTAAATATTAATTAGATTAAATAATATTTAATTCGTAATATTGAAAATGGATTAAATATTAGTTAGATTAACTATATTTAATTCGTGATGTTGAAGAAGAGTTCTATTTGATAGATTTAATTAAGTGTAATAAATTAGATTTATTATACTTACTTAAGATGTATTTTTAAGTAATTAAAGTTGTTACTTTTCTTTATAATTTAGAATTGAAAGAAAAGAGAAAATAAAATAAATAATAATAGAGTAAAGTGGCGTAGGTGCAGCCAACTTTTACTCATATTATTAGATTGTTTTATTTTATTTAATTAATTAATGTAAATCATTAATAAGGAGTATTGGTCCTAGTAGGACTAGAACTCATTAATGAGAAAGACTTTCATTGTGATTGGGAAACTAGTTTAGAACTAGTATAAATACATCCTCCTCCTTCATAATTTAGATACCGGTTTTCAGATTCAGTATTACCAGTTTATTTCCCTGCGAAGAGATTTCCTAGCCTTTCTCTTAGGGAGATCTAACCGTTCTTTCGGAAAGGAGAAA